TGACAAGAGGGTGACTCCTCCTCCCGGCAGTCAGTCAGGCTCAGCCTTCAGCCCCAGGGCAGGTTTTTACTCTCCCTGGTCTCAGAGCACTCCGTGTTGCATCTTCTACCACTATCCTGGGGCCATACTTCTCCAGTCGGCCCCAGACCCTTTCAGGGACAGAGAGAGAAGAGAGTATTCTTTCCAGAGAGTTTTCTCCGGAGTGGGACCAGGGCGGAGGAAGCCAAACCCAGACGCCATCCCCTTTCTGGGGCCCTTCCTGGCCCCTCCCGACCGCACCCAGGCCCTTGCCAGGATGAGTGGGTTGAGATGGCCCAAAATAAGAAGCTCATTAAATCCGTCTCCCACCTTCACCCCAAAATAAGAGAGACAGAGGAAAAACCTCCTCAGACAACTCCCACGCAGCTTCCTCTGGGGACCGGTGGGCCACCGTCTGGGCCGGGGCGTATTGAGGGGTTGCCCAAGCCAGCCGCGGGGACGTGTGAGGGCGTCCCGGGCGGGACCCTCTCCCCACTCCCCAAGTGATGCCCCCAGGCTCCCTGCAATTAACACAGAAAAACAATTAACAACAAAATAGGCCCGAAGGCGCCGACGAGGGTGGGGATAGGAGGCGGCGGCGAGGAGCGCCCGGCTCACAAGGAGAGCTTTGTGTGCACAGCAACGCGGCCAGCTGCCGGCGCTGCGACCCTCGACGCCAGGGATGCGGGTGGGGACACAGCGGGGTCCTGTCGGGAAGACGGAGGCTGTGGTCCTGGCCTCCCGGCCGTCCACCCTCGACCCCACCTGGCCGCAGACGCGTCCGAGGAGGTCCTGGGCCGCCCCGGGAGGCCGAAGCACCCATCGGAGGGCGAGCGCTGGAGAGCCGGGAAGTCGAAGAAACAACAAACTCTCGCACATGACGAGGAGCCGGGACTGCGCGGGGTTTGAGCGGAGTCCAAATGTTTATCAGGCGGTTCCAGAGCTGAGCGCAGAGCCCAGGGGAATTGGGGAAGGGGGAGTCCGCCCCAGCTGTAAAGTTCTTCCAAGGAATGGAAAAAAGGAATGGGAAAGAGATTCGGCGGCGCAGGGGGTGGGGGCAGCTGGTTGGAAGCGGGCAAAAGTTGGATCGATCTGGAAGTTTGGAGACGAAAAGGAAAATGAAAGGGAGGGGGAATCCTGCGGGCCCGAGCAGCCGAGATCCCAAGAGCCCTCCTCTCCAAATAGGGGCTGTCCCCTTGGAGACCCGCGGGCTCGCCTCCTGGCGGGCACGACTCCGGGAAGGGCCGGGGGAGCTCACTTACTTCGGGGCTGAAGCTGCTGCTTTGGGACGAGCCGAGGGACGCGAGCGCAGTGCCGAGCGTGAGCAGGGGGAGCAGAAGACAACGGGAGGGTCGTGGGACAGGAGACATTGTCCGTGACCGCCGGGTCAGCTGGGCAGTGCGGGCTCCGCGGTGGGGCCCACGCCCTGGGGTCGCACCGTCACTCCCTGGGGGCGCCTTTGTCTTCGGTAGGCACTGAGTTTGAATTCCTAGAGCGCTGTCGACTTGGAGTTAAGGCGATTGTTCCTAAAAGTGCCTGTTTGCTCTTCTCTTTAGCGTTTTTGGATCTTCTTCTGCTTAGTCGGCGAACTGGGGTCTGGATCCCTCTCTGGCTCTCTCCTCTGGTCCCTCCCTTCTCCCGCAGCCTATCCTCCGTCCCCGCCCCCCCAATGCCCTCCTTTCCGGGTTGGGGACGTGGTAGTCAGAATCCAATTACAACTATTGCCTTTTTGTGGTGCAGAATGCCATCTGCAGGGGTTGAGGCTACAGTGGACAGCAGGGGGCTGTAGGGGGACCCAGGGAAAGGATGTGGGAGATTTTCTCCCCATAAGCGTATTTTTGGTGGATTGATTCCTCTGGTATTCAGCATTTATCGTGTCACCTAAGGGTGGGAATTATTGGGGGGTACGTGGCTAGCGTCAACAAGGAGCTCAGATTGTGAGATGGTGGTGATGGTGGGGTCTTCTTCCATGCCCATGAGACCTGCATTGAGAGAAGGGGCCTGTTTATTAATAGTTGGGGGGTTATCTCCTGGGCCCTGTAGACAACTGTCTATGTCCCTCCCTCTGCTGCTAAAAAATCCAAACTATAACAAACCCCACAATCATACTAGATCTGTGGCTCTATCCTTGTAGAAAGACGAAGGTAATTCCTTTGTTATTGTCATTTGTAATGTGGCTGTTCCTTTAATTGGAACATACTGGGAGGAAAAGGCTACAGGGCCATGGGATCTGGGGGAAGGCAAATCAAGTTGAGTGAAATTATTGTAAAAGAAGGGATTGGGAGTTGGGATGCCAGGGTTCCACCTCTACACTGAAAAAGGAGGCAATTCTTAAAAGAGTTCCTTTGGGACTTATTGGACTCAAAGCAAAAAAGGTGGAGGTATGTAGGGAAGAGGGCAGGATAAAGCTGACGGTGAGAAAGGGAGGCAAAAGAGAACTATATAGATTTGGAAAAGCAGCACAACATAGCAGGAAAAGTGTGGGAGACAGAAAACTCGACCATCAGCGAAATCTAAGATCCAAGAATTGCATTTGGTCAGGGAGAGAGGAAAGAGGTTGGTGAGGGTTGGGGGGGAGGAAGGGAGAAGAAAGAAAAGGAATAAAGTGTGGACAGAAATTAGGTCAGGTAGGAAGCTCCAGAAACCCTAAGGATTCAGGAAGTATCGCACTTTTTTTTTTCCGAGATAGAGTTTCACTCTGTTGCCCAGGCAGGAGTGCAATGGCGTGATCTCGGCTCACTGCAATCTCTGCCTCCAGGGTTCAAGCGATTCTCCTGCCTCAGCCTCCTGAGTAGCTGGGATTACAGGTGCCCATCACCACGCCCGGCTAATTTTTGTATTTTTGGTAGAGAAGAGGTTTCACTATGTTGGCCAGGATGGTCTTCATCTCTTTTTTTAATTTTTTTTTTTTTGAGACGGAGTTTCGCTCTTGTTACCCAGGCTGGAGTGCAATGGCGTGATCTCGGCTCACCGCAACCTCCGCCTCCTGGTTTCAGGTAATTCTCCTGCCCCAGCCTCCTGAGTAGCTGGGATTACAGGCATGTGCCACCATGCCCAGCTAATTTTTTTTTTGTATTTTTAGTAGAGACGGGGTTTCACCATGTTGACCAGGATGGTCTCGATCTCTTGACCTCGTGATCCACCCGTCTCGGCCTCCCAAAGTGCTGGGATTACAGGCTTGAGCCACCGCGCCTGGCCTGGTCTTCATCTCCTGACCACGTGATCCACCCGCCTTGGCCTCCCAAAGTGCTGGGATTACAGGTGTGAGCCACCAGCCCAGGCCAACTATTGCACTTTTGTGGCAGAATGGAAGTCTAGTGCTCAGTATTGTAATGAAAACAAAGGTATTTTGTCCTCAGATTCATGATCAATAAAATGAAAAGCTTCTCAGGTCCTGTGGAGCCTCCAGGTTTGTGGGAGGTATATCGTATGTGTTACTAAACAAGCACCTCGGGCTGGGCGCGGTGGCTCAAGCCTGTAATCCCAGCACTTTGGGAGGCCGAGGCGACGGTGGCGCGTGCCTATAATCCCAGCTACTCAGGAGGCTGAGGCAGGAGAATTGCCTGAACCCAGGAGGCAGAGGTTGCGATGAGCCAAGATCGCGGCATTGCACTCCAGCCTGGGTAACAAGAGCAAAAAACTCCGTCTCAAAAAAAAACAAGCACCTCCTCCATAGTGACCGAGGGCTGAGCCCTTCTGTAGGACTTTACTACACAAATGGGTTGGGAAGCACAGGCCCCTCTTCAATCAATCTCTGGAATGCAGTCAGAAGCATGGAGACCTCGGAACCCCACTCTTGGCAGAACATGGAACACTCAGGTATGGTTCTTTCCACATCAGCCTTCCCAGTGAGGGTAACCTCCCGGACCACGTATCTGAATCTTAGGAATCCTAACTGACACCAGATGCTTGCCAAGAAAGGGATCTTTCATGTTCACAGAACAGCTATTTCTCAGTTGGGCCAGTCATATGGCCTACAAAGGAGGAGGTAAAATTTTTAAAAGCCAGACTTAGCAGAACTGGAATGGAACCAGGGATAAAGGCCTAGGCCAAGCCTCCCAGGCAGTAATCTAACAGCTTGTTCTTGGTGTCCCAGCTCTTTTGCTCTGAAGACAGATGGGGAATGTAAAGGCTGCCTTCTGGCTGGGATGAGGCATCTAGGTGATAGAAAAGAAATCCAGAAGGCTGGGCACAGTGGCTCACGCCTATAATCCCATCACTTTGGGAGGCCGAGGCGGGTGGATCACGAGGTCAAGAGATCGAGACCATCCTGGTCAACATGGTGAAACCTCATCTCTACTAAAAAGACAAAAAATTAGCTGGGTATGGTGGTGCGTGCCTGTAATCCCAGCTACTCAGGAGGCTGAGGCAGGAGAATCGCCTGAACCCAGGAGGCGGAGGTTGCGGGGAGCCGAGACCGCGCCATTGCACTCCAGCCTGGGTAACAAGAGCAAAACTCTGTCTCAAAAAAAAAAAAAAAAGAAAGAAAAAGAAATCCAGAGTGCTCGCTTCAGCAGCACATATACTAAAATTGGAACGATACAGAGAAGATTAGCATGGCCCCTGCGCAAGGATGACACACAAATTCGTGAAGCATTCCACTTTTTTTTAAAGTAAAAAAGTAATAATAGCCGGGCGCGGTGGCTCAAGCCTGTAATCCCAGCACTTTGGGAGGCCGAGGCGGGTGGATCACGAGGTCAAGAGATCGAGACCATCCTGGTCAACATGGTGAAACCCCGTCTCTACTAAAAATACTAAAAATTAGCTGGGTGTGGTGGCGTGTGCCTGTAATCCCAGCCACTCGGGAGGCAGAGGCAGGAGAATTGCTTGAACCCAGGAAGCGGAGGTTGCGGTGAGCCGAGATCGCGCCATTGCACTCCAGCCTGGGTAACAAGAGCGAAACTCCTCCTCAAAAAAAAAAAAAAAAAAAAAAAAAAAAAAGTAATAATAATAATAACTAGAAAAGAAATCCAGAGAGAGGCTGAGGAAGGGAGGCAGGAGTTGCTTTTTATTGACTTGGCCTCTTCAGTGAAGCCCCTTTGGGTTTAAGAACATTTTTCTGCTTCCTTTCTTCTTGCAGCTTCTGCTGCTTGAGCTGCCATGCCTGTAATCCAGTGTCCATTTCCTGTGACAGCAGTACAACTCGCCTCTGAAAGACAGGAAAACAGTGCGGATAATGTCTGGGGGGCTAAGTGCTCCACTATATATCCTTTCACTCACAAATTCAGAGGTTTCGTCTGGAAAATGGCACTGCTGACTCCCCAGTGGGAGCAAGTGCTGGCTTGGGAAGCAGAGGGAGAGAGCAAAATGTGCAGCAGGATGTCTACTACTGGGTTCTGCCCTGGGAGTGCCCCACTCTGTTCCTCCCGTCTCACAGTTCTATTAAAACCTTTGGCTGTTATTAATACAACTCTGCACGAGGGGTACATGTTTGTTTAGGTGCAACACAGCTCAAGACAAATTATGATTTAAATGCTCTCCTTCCAGTTACACACAGGTAGCCCTGGCTGGTGCTTTAGCCACTCACTGCAAACTTCTCCCTTTCAGCTTTTCTTCGAAGCTGGCCTTTCATTGGGGGAGCAGGGCGGCCATCTACAAGTAGAAGTGAGAGAAAAGCAAGTGTTAGAGATCTTGTGCAAATACTGTGATAGGAATAAGGCAAGAACCAATCTCTAGCTTCTCTCTTCCATTTCATATACATTATAGCTTAATTATCCTAAAATATGTCCCTCATCTTCAAGGGTGAGGTATGATAACCCAGGATAACCCAGAATAAGCTTGTAGGCATATTACTGCTTTATTTCACTTAACTCTCGTTAGCTTTGGGGGTCCTCTGCAATGCGGAATCTACTGTTTTATCTTCAGAAACTCTTAAGCAATGTAATTGCTATATATATATATATAAACGAACTATATATCTTTGCTAAATTCCATCCTACTCCACAATGAAATGCCCTCTTTTCCTTTTCTTCCAGCCAAATCTTTACCCTTAGGTCCATTCAAATCCTAACTTTCCCAGAAACTCTTTTCTAATCTCTTCAAGTCTACCAGGCTTTTCTTCTGAAAGAAGTGGTGATTATTTAATACTCACCTATTTGCCTTGGGACACTTACTATACATTTTTTAGTGTTATTTAGCTACCTCAGGTCCTTTTGGAAAGGGGCAGAATATTGAAATACTATTATTATTGTTATTTTTGAGACAGGGTCTCACTCCGTTGCCCAGGCTGGTGTGCAATGGCATGATCCCAGCTTATTACAACCTCTACCTCCTGGGCTCAACCGATTCTCCTGCCTCAGCCTCCTAAGTAGCTGGGACTATAGGCACCCATGGTGCCTGGCCCTGAAATACTATTACTTAATTTTTAAAATGTCCACGCTTTGTCCCAGCTAAACTTTAAGTTACTTGGGTCAGGGACTGTGTCGCTAGCTTTTGCTATTCATAGTATAGTGTAGGCACATAAGCATGTTAATAAAAATCCAGAAATATTTGCTGATTTGCTGAAAACATGCAGTATTTGACCCAAGTAGTTTATAGTGGAGATGAGGAAAAAGGACACTTATTTTCTGCAAAGAAACAGTGAAAACTCTGCCTAAAAGTTTGAAGGCAAGACAGAGAAGAGATGTTATTTTATCAGGAAGGAGAACCAATATTGTGTATGCGGTGTGCTTTACATTGCTTGTTTCATTTTGTCCTTATCAGAACTATATGAGATGGTTGTTCTTTTACAGATATGAAAACTGAGACTAAGATAAAATTAAGTAACTTGTCCAAGACCACAAAATTAGCAAGAAGGGAAGCCTGGATTAAGAATAAGGTCCATAGGCTGGACGTGGTGGCTCACACCTGTAATCCCAGCACTTTGGGGGGCTGAGGTGGATCACTTGAGCTAAGGAGTTCAAGATTACCTTGGGCAACTTAGCAAGACCGTCTCTACTAAAAGTTAAAAAAAAAAAAAGGCAGGAATGGTGGTGTGTCTGTGGCCTGTGGTCCCACCTACTTGGGAGGCTGAGGTGGAAGGATTGCTTGAGCCCAGGAAATCAAGGCTGCAGTGAACTATGAGCATGCCACTGCACTTCAGCCTGGTTGACAGGGCAAGACTCTATCTTAAAAAAAAAAAAAAGGAGGCCGGGCGCGGTGGCTCAAGCCTGTAATCCCAGCACTTTGGGAGGCCGAGGCGGGTGGATCACAAGGTCGAGAGATCGAGACCATCCTGGTCAACATGGTGAAACCCCGTCTCTACTAAAAATACAAAAAATTAGCTGGGCGTGGTGGCGCGTGCCTGTAATCCCAGCTACTCAGGAGGCTGAGGCAGGAGAATTGCCTGAGCCCAGGAGGCGGAGGTTGCGGTGAGCCGAGATCGTGCCATTGCACTCCAGCCTGGGTAACAAGAGCGAAACTCCGTCTCAAAAAAAAAAAAAAAAAAAAAAGGCTGGGCGCGGTGGCTCAAGCCTGTAATCCCAGCACTTTCGGAGGCCGAGGCGGGTGGATCACGAGGTCAAGAGATCGAGACCTTCCTGGTCAACATGGTGAAACCCCGTCTCTACTAAAAAATACAAAAAATTAGCTGGGCATGGTGGCACGTGCCTGTAATCCCAGCTACTCAGGAGGCTGAGGCAGGAGAATTGCTTGAACCCAGGAGGCGGAGGTTGCGGTGAGCCGAGATCGTGCCATTGCACTCCAGCCTGGGTAACAAGAGTGAAACTCCGTCTCAAAAAAAAAAAAAAAAAAAAAAAGGCCGGGCGCGGTGGCTTAAGCCTGTAATCCTAGCACTTTGGGAGGTCGAGGCGGGTGGATCACGAGGTCAAGGGATCGAGACCATCCCGGTCAACATGGTGAAACCCCGTCTCTACTAAAAATACAAAAAATTAGCTGGGCATGGTAGTGCGTGCCTGTAATCCCAGCTACTCAGGAGGCTGAGGCAGGAGAATTGCCTGAACCCAGGAGGCGGAGGTTGCGGTGAGCCGAGATCGCGCCATTGCACTCCAGCCTGGGTAACAAGAGTGAGACTCCGTCTCAAAAAAAAAAAAAAAAAAAAAAAAGAGAGAGAAAGACAGACTCAGGTACAAGCTGAGTGCAGTAGCTCATGCCTGTAATCCCAGCATTTTCGGAGACAAGACTGGAGGATCGCTTGAGGCCAAGAGTTAAAGACTAGCCTGGGCAATATAGCAAGACCTCATCTCTATGAAAAAAAAAAAAAAAAAAGAAGAAAAGAAGCAGGTACACCTAATTCCAGAGTCTTTCCAATAGTCCATACTACTACAAGGACATGCCAGGCTTCCTACAGTAAATAACAAGTAGAAAAAATCTGTACTATCATCCTCAGTTACCAATCATCCAATTAAGCAGGATCATATTCCTAAAGAACAACAATATGGTATTAAATATTCAGATCTCTGTATTGTCAAAGAGGACTGGCCGATGTTCTAGTCCTATGATCACGGGCAATTCACGAGGCCTGAAATTTCCTACTTGTAAAGTGGAGTCTCATAAGGAGAGTGGGGAGTAGCTTCAATTTCTCTAAAGTCCCTTCCTTCTAGGGCTAATATCTATTCTCCCTCTCTCTTTTCTAAGTATAGGGAAAAGGCCTCCCTTCTGAATGGAGCCTGCCATCCTGTCTTCATCCCTCTGAGACGCTTATTATCTGCAGCTTTTCAAAGAGCTCTCCCTGCATTTGGTACCAAATACTGAAAATTCACTAACCACACAGAAGAGTGGTTCTTGATTTTAAAATATCATATCTCCCTTTGAAAAACATAGAGGTCTTGTCACTCTCTTCTACCCTGCCTGCCCGAAGTCAGAATTATCTCCTGCTTATCTCCATAAGGCAAGACTGTTTAGCTTTACTTTCCTTAGTGGAAGTGTAATCTACAAAATAACAAGAGGGCTTCTTTCCCAAATTCCGTTTTCCAAATAAAAAGTTCAACACTTTTGGACGGGCGCAGTAGTTCACGCCTGTAATCCTAGCATTTTTGGAGGCCCAGCGAAGTAGGCGGATTACGACGTCAGGAGTTCGAGACCAGCCTGGCCAACATGGTGAAACCCCGTCTCTACTAAAAATAAGTTAGCCAGACATGGTGGCAGGCGCCTGTAATCCCTGCTACTCCGGAGGCTGAGGCAGGAGAATCGATTGAAACCGGAGGTGGAGGTTGCAGTGAGCCGTGACCGCGCCACTGCACTCCAGTCTGGGCAACAGAGCGGGACTCCATCTCAGGGGGAAAAAAAAAGTTAAACACACACACACATATACACACAAAAGTTAAACACTATTTCCATTCGGACATGACCCCATTTTGATAACCCCTGCTCCCCGTCCAGGGGCGTTCCCTCTGAGTGAAAATCTCCCCAGGGGAATTAACTGTCAGATCAGCGCTCACCCGCATAGGACCAGTCTGGGAGTTCTGTAAGGGGCCCGTAGCCGGAGGGGTTGGCAGACAGTCCCTGCCTGGGTGGAGAAAAACAGATTTGTGAAGACCTAGCCCAGCTTCTGGTGCCCCAGGTCCCCTCATCCCAGCACTCACTGGAGTCGCCACTGGCTGCCCGCCCAAGCGGCCGCGCCGCAGTGCAGCCTCCGGACACCTGCTGAGAAAACAGAGCAGAGTTGGGGAAGAGGCAGCGCAGCCGGCTCGGGGGTCCTGTGTCCGTTCCCAATGAACCCCCGAGTCCACGGTCCCTATACCTACTCACCCAAGAGAAGATCCCTTAAAGCAGCCATGCTGAGTCGGAGTTGCCAGAGTTGCCGGAAGTGGGCGTGGCCTCGGTGGACGCGCGCGATGCTATAGGGGAAGCAGGAAGTAGCCAGCTTGAATCTGGTTTTTTAATCACGGGCTCCGCCATCTTGGGTCATCGTACGGAAGGAAGGACAAAACTGCCCTCCAGGATTTTGAGGTAGAAACGAATTGTCGTTAAGCGCATGCATTCTCAATGATGGTCCCATGCTCAGTGGAAGTTGTGTCCTCCCGGATTAAGCCGTTCTGAACAGTTCCCACAGCCTCCCCACAGCAGTGTCTAGTCCATCGAAATTGATATTAATAATAACTTTGATCTCAGAGGAGTAACATCCGTTTCATTCTACAGATCCTCGCATCACTGTAACATAGTTTTCCTAGACTAAGAGAAGTTATCAAATCGAGTTAATCAGAAATTGGGCCAGCCTGGGCAACATCGCAAAAACTCCCTCTATAAAAAAAATGAAAAAATTAGCTGGGTGTCGGGGCGCACGCCTGTAGTCCCAGCTATTTGGGAAGCTGAAGTGGGAGGATTGCTTGAGCCTAGGAGGCTGGAGGCTGGAGGCTGCAGTGAGCAGACATCACGCCACTGCATTCCAGCCTGGGTGACAGAGCGAGACCTTGTCTGAAAAAAATTCCATATGGCAAGTGCTGTATTATTAGGCGTAGGAGATTCTATGGAGAACAAAGTCAGACATCAATATCCTGATAGAACTCCCGATATAAAAGAAACAAGACAATCAAATGATCACATACATTGATATTTTTGAGTGCTGGGAATGGACGTACATGTTGTTTGTGAGTTTATAGTGTGAACTTGATTTAGAGTAGGCCATCAGAGATGACTTTCCTGAGAAAGAGGTATTGTATTGGAGCTAAGATGTGACATTCCATTTTCATAAGTGCTACCACGACACATTGCCTAATATTATCCTTGCAGCAACCTTGTGAGGTAGGTACTAGTAAGTGGCAAACCCAGATCTGTGACTCCCCTCCTTTTATCACTTGCTATTCAGTACAGTACTGTCTTGGAGAAGTCATTTATCCTTCATTTCCCAATTTTAAAAATGCTTCATATGAGGCCGGGCGCGGTGGCTCAAGCCTGTAATCCCAGCACTTTGGGAGGCCGAGGCGGGTGGATCACGAGGTCGAGAGATCGAGACCATCCTGGTCAACATGGTGAAACCCCGTCTCTACTAAAAATACAAAAAATTAGCTGGGCATGGTGGCTCGTGCCTGTAATCCCAGCTACTCAGGAGGCTGAGGCAGGAGAATTGCCTGAACCCAGGAGGCGGAGGTTGCGGTGAGCCGAGATCGCGCCATTGCACTCCAGCCTGGGTAACAAGAGCAAAACTCCGTCTCAAAAAAAAAAAAAACAAAACAAAAAAAAACCGCTTCATATGTTACATTTGTGAAAATGATCTGAATGTGATAATGTGAGTGAAAGTGCTTTATAAATCCTGAAACTCCTACAAAAGAGCCCATTAACTGTATGCCAGGCGCGAAAGGAAAATATCTTGGGCCTCTTCAAGCTGGGAACCTGGGAACCACTCAGGGCAAATCTGCCTCCAATTCTATTCAAAGTCATCTATCTGCTCACAGAGATAGATGCATATTCTGATGATCTCTTCTGGAAATATTTACCAGAAACTCAAAATAATGCAAATATCTGTCTCTCTCCTATGTGTGACCTGGAAGCCCCCAGGGGGTGCGGGGGGCATGGGGGGAATCTTTCTTTGAGCTCTCTCTGCCTTTCTGGAAAGAACTCTTGTCTCCCTAAAATGCATAAAACCAAGCTGTTCCCAGACCACCTTAGACACATGTCTTCAGGACTTCCTGAGATTGTGTCACTGGAGCGTCCTCTACATTGGCAAAATAAACTTTCTAAATTAACTGAGACCTGTCTCAAATTTTCAGGATTCACATTTTGGTAACCACAGGGGTATTCTGAGTGGAAATGCCCTTGACCTTTAAAAAAAATCTCCTATTGGCTGGGTGTGGTGGCTCATACCTGTAATCCCAGCATTTTGGGTCAGGAGTTTGAGACCACCCTGGCCAACATGGTGAAACCCCATCTCTACTAAAAATGAAAAATTAGCCAGGCGTGATGGCGCACACCTGTAATCCCAGCTACTTGGGAGGCTGAGGCCAGAGAATCGCTTGAACCTGGAAGGCAGAGGTTGCAGTGAGCCAAGGTCATGCCACTGCCATTGCACTCCAGCCTGGGCAACAGAGTGAAACTCTTTCTCAAAAAAATAAAAGAACTCTCCTGGCCTGCTGGGCGCGGTGGTTCACACCTGTAATCCCAGCACTTTGGGAGGCTGAGGTAGGCAGATCACAAGGCTAGAAGTTCAAGACCAGCCTGGCCAATATAGTGAAACCCTGTCTCTACTAAAACTACAAAAATAGCCAGGCATGGTGGCGCATGCCTGTAATCCCAGCTACTTGGGAGGCTGAGGCATGAGAATCACTTGAACCCGGGAGGCAGAGGTTGCAGTGAGCCAAGATCAGGCCACTACACTCCAACCTGGGCAACAGAGCAAGATTCCGTCTCAAAAAAAAAAAAAAAAAGAAGAAGAAGAAGAAGAAAGAAGAGGATAGAAGAGGAGGGGGAGGGGGAGGGGGAAATCTCCTGACCTGGCGAGGTGGCTCACACCTATAACCCTGCCGAGGCAGGCAGATCACCTGAGGTCAGGTGTTCAATACCAGCCTGACCAACATGGAGAAACCTTGTCTTTACTAAAAATACAAAAATTAGCCAGAGGCAGTAGTGGGTGCCTATAATCTCAGCTACTCAGGAGGCTGAAGCAGGAGAATCGCTTGAACTTGGGAGGCAGAGGTTGCAGTGAGCTGAGATTGTGCTATTCCACTCCAGCCTGGGCAATAAGAGTGAAACTTTGTCTCAAAAAAAGAAAAGAAAAGAAAGAAAGAAATCTCTTGTTGCTGCTTGGTACCAGCATGAGCTAACTTTATGGCTCAAACCAATAGGACGATTTGCTGAGGTCTGAGAGTATCCCCTCCAGAGAATCCCTGATCTCCTATAATTTGGTTGAGATCTAAAATTTGTTTTGCTATACAACTCATTTTTTTTTTTTTTTGAGTTTGACTTGCTTGCAACAGGAAGGCAAGTTTTCCTGCTTCCATGAGTTTGAGCTCACTTCCAAGAGGGAAGATAAGTTTTTTTTTTTTTTTCTGCTTCTAGGCTGGGAGAGAGCAGTCTACAACCTGAGACCCATCACTAGGCAAGAAACTGGTTTGGGATTCTGTCTTACAAATTCCTTTTAAACAACTAAAGTTAGCGTTTAAGGGCCGGGCGTGGTGGCTCAAGCCTGTAATCCCAGCACTTTGGGAGGCTGAGGCGGGTGGATCATGAGGTCAAGAGATCGAGACCATCCTGGTCATCATGGTGAAACCCTGTCTCTACTGAAAATACAAAAAAAAAAAAAATTAGCTGGGCATGGTGGTGCATTCCTGTAATCCCAGCTACTCAGGAGGCTGAGGCAGGAGTATTGCCTGAACCCAGGAGGCAGAGGTTGTGGTGAGCCGAGATCGTGCCATTGCACTCCAGCCTGGGTAACAAGAGTGAAACTCTCTCAAAAAAAAAAAAAGTTAGCATTTAACAGTCAACTGGTATTAATTTCTGCTTACACTTAGAGTGCTCAGAAGTCCTATAATTTGTATGATTATTGTTAGTGTAACAGCATTTTGTCATAGCTGAAATACGGTAATCAGATTTTAAAAAATTTTTTTATTTTTTGAGACGGAGTCTTGCTCTGTCACCCAGGCTGGAGTTCAGTGGCGCGATCTCGGCTCACTGCAACCTCTGCCTCCTGGGTTCAAGTGGTTCTCCTGCTTCAGCCTCCCAAGTAGCTGAGACTACAGGTGTGCGCCACCATGCCTGGCTAATTTTTGTATTTTTAGTAGAGATGGGGTTTCACCACTTTAGCCAGGCTGGTCTCGAACTCCTGACCTTGTAATCCTCCTGCCTTGGCCTCTTAAAGTACTGGGATTACAGGTGTGAGCCACTGAGTCTGGCCTGAAATAATTTTTTTTTTAAATTAAAGTTATTATATCCATATATTTTCCTGTATGTACTTTTAAATTCCTTGTGACATTGAGTTTAGAGCTCTGACTCCTGGGTCTAAAAAGGACACCAAATCCTGCTAAATCTTAAACACTGACAGCAATTAAAGCCTTATCTTCAGACCCTGTAGAAGACGCAAATCAAATTAAACTGCCTTCCTGAGACACAGGTCCTGAAATTAAAGGTATTCAATTCCTCAAGACCCAGGGACTATTGTGGAAGAGGTGGGCACGTAAGGTTGTAAGGGCTGTTTTGTTTTGTTTTGAGATGGAGTCTTGCTCTGTCTCCCAGGCTGGAGTGCAGTGGCATGATCTCAGCTCACTGCAACTTCCACCTCCTGGGTTCAAGAAATTCTTCTGCCTCAGCCTCCTGAGTAGCTGGGATTACAGGTGCACACTACCATGCCCAGCTAATTTTGTATTTCTTTAGTAGAGATGGGGTTTCACCATGTTGGCCAGGCTGGTCTCAAACTCCTGACCTCATGATCCACCGACCTCAGCCTCCCAAAGTGCTGGGATTACAGGCATGAGCCACCATGTCCAGCCTAACCAACTCTTTAATAAAGGTTATGAAAGGGTTATGGAAGTTATATTTTATTAAATTTTATAGATTGTTTACAAAATTTTGAAAAACAAATATTATTGGCTTCATGCTGTTTTTATTAGGGCTTCTTGTTTAGATAATTAAGTCTCAAAGAATGAAGGTTTTGCTTTTTTTGAAATCCTTGAATTATCACTTTGGTTAAATAAATGACTTTACAATGACCTGTAATCCTATTTTATTTATTATTATTATTATTATTTCATTCAACAGCATTTATTTAGATCTGCAGTGTGCCAGCACTGTCCTATGCACTGGAGATACACAAGGGACAAGACAAAGGGCCTGCTGTCATGGAACTTCCATTCTCATGAGACAGACGGTAACCCACAGGAAAACATACCACTGCTGGGGCAGGTGCTAGTAAGAAAAAGGCAGCGTGCTGAGGTGACAGAGTGACATCATGGATGGTCACGGAGGCCTCTGGACCAGGAGGCGTGTGCACAGAGCCCTGCCCTCCAGAGCTCAGTCATGCTGCAGAACTCCTTCATGATAACTCCGGATGAGGCAAGAGTAGGTCACTTTAATCTATTTCATTTTTAGTGACATTCAAATTACTTTGGGGTTTTCAGAACTATTAATTCACTAATAGAACTGTCTTAAAGCCAGACATGGGGCTGGCAGGATGGGAAAGCTTTCCCTATGAATTCTGCCAGGTTTCATTCCAATGTGTCAGCCCTCACGGCTCCAGCTCTGTGGATCCCTCTTCTTTGCTGCAACCATGAACAAGTGTGTGGTGAGAGCCAAGGTAATGCAGGTCAGGGGATCAAAGGTGAAGGGTCACACATTATTAAAAAGAAATCCAAAAGGACAGCTGCATCATGATCTCTCGTTAGTGTCCCAACGGTGCCTCTCTTTTGGTAAACTTAAACATTTCGGCAGACATTCAAGCAGCTTTTTCGGTAAAAAGATTTTTACATGACTACTATTGCTGTTCCCATGATCAATTTCCGGCTTGTTTTTGGCAGACATTTCCCCTCTGCGCGCCACATCCTCCTCCTCCTCACGACTGGGACCCCGAGCGCGCACCTCTGCCCAATTCTATTTTGTAATACCAAGTGTTTTAAACCTTTTGTATTTGACAAACTTTCCAAAATCATATTATAAATTTTATCTTTATCTAACCTAATTCGTTAAGAAATTGGATTTCCTAAAGTTTAAAAAGTGACATCATTTGGCTTAATTGGTATAAAAATTGTACAGGAAACATTGTCACATATAAAATGGTGTTTGGTTTTCTTTGGGCTGTATTTGTATAAATATGTTGTTGGTATGTGTTCCAAAATTACGGGAAACTCCTGTAACTTTGATATAACTTAGTGTACATTCGCAGTAATCTTAATTGTTATGTTACAATTATTGTATGTCACAGAGTTAACAAATTTCCTTGTTAATTGTGTCTTTCTTTTTTTTTTTTTTTTTTTGAGACGGAGTCATGCTCTGTCACCAGGCGCCAGGCTGGAGTACAGTGGCTCAATCTCAGCCCACTGCAATCTCCACCTCCTGGATTCAAGCAATTCTCCTGCCTCAGCCTCCCTAGTAGCTGGGACTACAGGTGGATGCCACCACGCCCAGCTAATATTTGTATTTTTTAGTAGAGACGGGGTTTCACCATGTTGCCCAGGGTGGTCTCGATCTCTTGACCTCGTAATCTGCCCACCTTGGCCTCCCAAAGTGCTGGGATTACAGGTATGAGCCACCGCGACCTGCCAATTGTGTCTTTTAACTATAGCTGCCTTAAACTTCTTTTTCATCCATGGACAATTGTCTTGTTTTGGTCCTCTTTAGAAGGTGGTTTTATAATCAGCTATAAAACTACAACAGGTGCTCTTGAATGCAAGTTTCTGAAAACTTTGGAGATTGTGACATCAGAATAGGTGAAAAACTTTCAGGACTCAATGGAGAGCTAAAATGTTCATTAGTACTAAGCAGAACAGGAATTAACTGCATGGATTGAACCAATCTTTTTGACTTTTTGCTTAAAGTGTTTGCTGATCATTTGTTTTGTTTTTCAGTGTCTTAAAACTTCTTTTGAGCTACTGACAGCTTTCAAAAATTTAGTATAGTCCTATGAACAAATTTGGAGCATATTTGTTTCTCTCTACCTGATTGCTCTAAAATTTGGAAACATTTGTGAATATTCTTTTATTTATTTATTTATTATCATTTTTTAAATATTTTTTTTTCATAGAGACAGGGCTTCATGTTGGCCAGGATGGTCCCAATCTCTTGACCTCATGATCTGCCCGCCTCGGCCTCCCAAAGTGCTGGGATTACAGGCTTGAGCCACCGCGCCCGGCCCATTTGTGAATATTCTTCACTTATGACAATACAGTTATTTGTGTAAGTGCAATAAGAATATATTTTTCAGGGCTGGGCGCAGTGGCTCATGCCTGTAATCCCAGCATTTTGGGAGACCAAGGTGAGCAGATCACAAGATCAGTAGTTTGAGACCAGCCTGGCCAACATGGTGAAACCCCGTCTCTATTAAAAATACAAAAAAATAGGGGTCGGGTACGAAAACAAACAAAAATATAAAAAAATATTAGCTGGGCATGGTGGCACACAATTGTAATCCCAGCTACTGAGGAGGCTGAGGCAGGAAAATCACTTCAACCTGGGAGGCGGAGGTTGCAATGAGCCAAGATCCTGCTGCCACGGCACTCCAGCCTGGGGGACAGAGCAAGACTCCATCTAAAAAAAAAAAAATACATGTATATATGTATGTATTTCATTTGTAACAGGACACGATTGGAGAAATTGGTGATTTTACCAAGGCTTTGACTAGAATGGTGTGCTTTCCTGTAAAGAATTGAACTTGACTTATGGAGCCAATAAAGCCCTTTGGAAAAATTGGCCTCATATTTTGTGTACAGTCCCTGTACAGAGTTTCTGACCTGTGGGTAACTGAAGAATGTCACTTTCTGACAGGCACAGAAGCCCCAGGTTTATCTTGGATCCTCAAGTGGAGAGGAAATTCACCCAACTCATAGATATTTGATGGCACAAATCCATGACTGGGCTCAGCTTTTTATTTATTTATTTATTTATTTATTTATTTATTTATTTATTTATTTATTAGAGACGGGGTTTCCCCATGTTGGCCAGGCTGGTCTCGAACTCCTGACCTCAGGTGATTCACCCGCCTCAGCCTCCCAAAGTGTTGGGATTACAGGTGTGAGCCACCACACCCAGCCGGGCTCAGCTTTTAAAAAGTCTTATCTGAACCCGGCTTAGTGGCTCACACCTGTAATCCCAATACTTTGGGAAGCTGAGGTGGGCAGATCACCTGCGGTCGGGAGTTTGAGACCAGCCTGACCAACATGGAGAAACTCCGTCTCTACTAAAAATACAAAAGCAGCCAGGCACGGTGGCACGTGCCTGTAATCCCAGCTATTCAGGAGGCTAAGGCAGAAGAATCTCTTAAACTTGGGAGGTGGAAGTTGTGGTGAGCTGAGATTGTGCAATTGCACTCCAGCCTAGGCAACCAGAACCAAACTCCATCTCTAAATAAATAAATAAAAAGTTTTATCTGGCCAGGCACAGTGGCTCACACCTGTAATCCCAGCACTTTGGGAGGCCGAGGTGGGCGGATCATGAGGTCAGGAGATCGTGACCAACCTGGCTAACATGGCAAACCTCTGTCTCTACTAAAAATACAAAAAATTACCTGGGTGTGGTGGCATGCACTTGTAGTCCCAGCTACTAAGGAGGCTGAGGCAGAAGAATCACTTGAAACTGAGAGGCAGAGATTGCAGTGAGTGGCAATCTCACCACTGCACTCTAGCCTGGCCAACAGAGTGAGATTTTGTCTCAAAAAAAAAAAAAAAAAAAAAAAAAAAAATCTTATCTGAGAATCATTCTATGGAACAAAATTCCATCAAAGCCAATTTAAAAGCCTATGTAAAAAATAATTATTCTTGGCCAGGCTAGGTGGCTCATGCGAGTAATCCCAGCACTTTGGGAGGCTAAGGCGGCGGGGGATCATAAAGTCAGGAGATTGAGACCATCCTGGCTAACACGGTGAAACTCTGTCTCTACTAAAAATACAAAAAAATTAGCCAGGTGTGGAGGCATGTGCCTGTAGTCCCAGCTACTCGGGAGGCTGAGGCAGGAGAATCACTTGAACCCGGGAGGCAGAGGTTTTGGTGAGCCGAGATCGTGTCACTGCACTCCAGCCTGGGCGACAGAGCAAGACTCTGTCTCAAAAAAAAAAAAATTATTCTTGCTGTACTATATACTTATAATTAGGCCAAGTGTAATAAGCAAACCAGTCAAACCATGATTCATTTTTAGTAAAATGGGAAACAGAGAGAAAAAATTATGTTTTAAAACGATTGCATACCTGTTGTTAAATTCTAGTGTTTCCTAGAATCTAGTTCATACATTGCCTAGAATGTATGGACTGCAGAGTAATGTGGCCTCTATGGATTTTTCCAGGCTTCTTCTTTTGTCTGTTATTTTTTTCTTTCTTTCTCCCTCCTATTGTCTCTTCACAACATGAGACTTCACAACCTGCTAAAAATGAGCTTTCGGGACCTACTCATCTAGAAATAAACTGTTCTAGCCATAAGAGATCAGATGAAACCTGAGACCAGATACTCATTTTCCTTTCTCCAAAAGATTTTAAAAAAGAAAAGGGGGGAAATGTGAAAGGAAAATATCTTGGGCCTCTTCAAGCTGGGAACTGCTCAGGGCAAATCTGTCTTCAATGCTATTCAAGTCATCTCTCTGCTCACAGAGATAGATGCGTATTCTGATTGCCTCTTCTGGAAAGACTTGTCAGAAGCTCGAAAGAATGCAATCTGTGTCTCACCTACATGTGACCTGGAAGTGGGGGCCTTGCTTTAAGCTGTCTCCACCTTTCTGGACGGAACTCATATACTTCATACATATTGATTGATGTCTCCTGTCTCCCTAAAATGTATAAAATCAAGCTGTGCCCGGACCACCTTGGGCACATGTCATCAGGACTTCCTGAGACTGTGTCACAGGTGCATCCTCAACCTTGGCAAAATAAACTTTTATTTTATTTTTATTTTTTAAAGATGGGGTTTCACCATGATGGCCAGGCTGGTCTTGAACTCCTGACCTCAGGTGATCCAACCACCTCGGCCTCCCAAAGTGCTAGGATTACAGGCGTGAGCCATCACACCCGGCCCAAAATAATTTTTTTTTTTTTTTTTTTTTTTTTTTTTTGAGACAGAGTTTCGCTCTTGTTACCCAGGTTGGAGTGCAATGGCACGATCTCAGCTCACCGCAACCTCCGCCTCCTGGGTTCAGGCAATTCTCCTGCCTCAGCCTCCTGAGTAGCTGGGATTACAGGCACGTGCCACCATGCCCAGCCAATTTTTTGTATTTTTAGTAGAGACGGGGTTTCACCATGTTGACCAGGCTGGTCTCGATCTCTCGACCTCATGATCCACCCGCCTTGGCCTCCCTAAGTGCTGGGATTACAGGCTTGAGCCACCACGCCCGGCCTCCCAAAATAAATTTTTAAAATTAACTGAGACCTGTCTCAGATGTTTGGGGTTCACATAGGCAAGACACAAACATATGCTGACTGGAGGAACCTGTGGGAGTGGTATAATGATCTATCTGGAAGTTTATCATTTCCTTCTGCAAGACTGGGAAGTTTTTCCACATGAGGTGGCTGTGAGTTGTGCTTTGAAAGAAGGGAAGGGTGGATCCTGGTTGAAGAAGTAAAAGCAGTTATTTTTGATAACAATAAGAATAATACAGGCTAGGGCTGAATAAGAAGGGATGGGAACAAAAGAAACTTGACTAGAAGCCAACAGATGGACTTAAATAAGCAAGGGAAATAAGACATACAGTATCACTATCATCTTGCATTAATACTCTTCATTTTTACTTATCAAAACACTTCCACATGATTTCCTTTGATTTTCACAATAAACCTGTAAAGTAGATAGACAGTCCAAGAAGCAATCATTGTACAGATTGCTTTGTCATTTTTTTAGGAATCAAGGGATTGAACCAAACACTTTTCCCAAGCTTGGTTCCTTGAGCCTTTGGCTGGCCCCAAGATAGACAGCTGATGTGGATAGCGCTGGAGTCTCATAGTTTACATTTGGGGAATGAAGTAGTAGAAGCCAAAGGCTCAGAGAATTACCCAAGTGTCAACATACAGGATTGACAGAAAAGATGACAAGCTGGCCAGGTACCATGCCTCATGGCCTGTAATCCCAGCATTTTGGGAGGCTGACGCTGGAGGATCACCTGAGCCCAGGAGTTGGAGACTAGCCTGGGTAACATAGTGAGACCTTGTCTCTACTAAAAATTAATGTGTGTGTGTGTGTGTGTGTATTTTCCCAGGCATAGTGGCATGTGCCTGCGGTCCCAGCTACATGGGATGTTGAGGTGAATGAGGTGAGAGGACTGCTTGAGCCCAGGAGTTCAAGGCCAGACTGGACAGCATGGTGAGATCCTGTAAAATTTAAAAAAAAAATACAGAAAATACAAAAAAATAGCTAGGTATGGTGGCACATGCCTGTAGTCACAGCTATGTGGGAGGCTGAAGTGGGAGCATCACAGCCAGGCCTGTAATCCCAGCTACTCGGGAGGCTGCAGTGAGCTGTAATCACACCACTACCCGCCAGCCTAGGTGACAGAACAAGATCTCTCAAAAAAAAAAAAAAAGTGTAACGGGGTGGGGCACATGCATTTAGGTGAACAAATAATGTGTGTAATACGAACATAGCATGCAAGAGTGGGCAAATGCAATTATTTTATTTATTTATTTATTTATTTTTGAGACGGAGTTTCACTCTTGTTACCCAGGCTGGAGTGCAATGGCGCGATCTCGGCTCACCGCAACCTCCGCCTCCTGGGTTCAGGCAATTCTCCTGCCTCAGCCTCCTGAGTAGCTGGGATTACAGGCATGCGCCACCATGCCCAGCTAATTTTTTGTATTTTTAGTAGGGACGGGGTTTCACTATGTTGACCAGGATGGTCTCGATCTCTTGACCTCGTGATCCACCCGCCTTGGCCTCCCAAAGTGCTGGGATTACAGGCTTGAGCCACCGCGCCCGGCGGCAAATGCAATTATTTAACAGATAAAGAATTCAAGCAGCCAGAGCTAGAGGACTTTGGGGGCAGGATGGGAAGTTTCACTGGAACTGGGAAATCTGGGAACAGAAGGGTCCTTAGAAGTGCAGTGGCTCATGCCTTGTAATCATAGCACTTTGGGAGGCCGAGGCGGGCAGATCATGAGGTCAGGAGTTAGAGACCAGCCTGGCCAACATGGTGAACCACCCCTCTCCCCGCCAAAAAAAATACAAAAATTAGCTGGGTGTGATGGTGTATGCCTGTAATCCCAGCTACTCAGGAGGCTGAGGCAAGATAATCGCTTGAACCTGGAAGGCAGAGGTTGCAGTGAGCTGAGGTCCTGCCACTGCACTCCAGCCTGGGCAACAGAGTGAGACTCTGTCTCAAAAAAGGAAAGAAGCCGGGCGCGGTGGCTCAAGCCTGTAATCCCAGCACTTTGGGAGGCTGAGGCGGGTGGATCACGAGGTCAAGAGATCGAGACCATTCTGGTCAACATGGTGAAACCCCGTCTCTACTAAAAATACAAAAAATTAGCTGGGCATGGTGGCAGGTGCCTGTAATCCCAGCTACTCGGGAGGCTGAGGCAGGAAAATTGACTGAACCCAGGAGGCGGAGGTTGCGGTGAGCCGAGATCGCACCATTGCACTCCAGCCTGGGTAACAAGAGTGAAACTCCGTCTCAAAAAAAAAAAAAAAAAAGGAAAGAAGGCAAGTTCAGCCTTTTAAATATATATATATATTTTATTTTTATTTTTTTGTAGAGATGGGGGTCTTGCTATGTTGCCTAAGCTGGTCTTGAATTCCTAGGCTCAAGCAATCTTCCTGCTTGGGCCTCCCTAAATTTATCCTTTGATATGGTTAGTGTGATAAGGCAGGGGGACAATCCATGGGTAAATGGCAGAAATATTGACTATGATTTAATTTTTTTTTTTTTTTTTTTTCAGGAGGAAAAGGAAGAAGATAGTGTGGACTCCTCACCCAAACAGCTATCTCTCATTGCAGCCTTCCTGGACAGTGGGACTAAGATTTTGAGACAGACAGAGAGAGAGAAACAGAGAAAGAGGACAGAGAGGAGAGAGAGAGAGAGAGAGAGAGAGAGAGAGAGAGAGAGAGAGAGAGAGAAGAGAGGAGAGAGGAGAGAGAGGGAGAGAGGAGAGAGAGAGAGAGAGAGAGAGAGAGAGAGAGAGAGAGAAAGAAAGAAACAACAAAAAACCCAGAATGCTGACTACTAACATCATCAGCATTCTCAGGGACCTCATGGAACTCTGGTGGAGGGAGGGGTCTGGCACCTGGACAGCACTCCTCAATGACTTCATCAGCCTCAGAAGCCACAGGAAAGCAGCTTCGTCATCCTAAACTGAATGCCTTTTAACCTCTGGACTTCAACTGGCAGAGTAGAGTTAAGAATAATGTGGGGCCGGGCGCGGTGGCTCAAGCCTATAATCCCAGCACTTTGGGAGGCCGAGGCGGGTGGATCACGAGGTCGAGAGATCGAGACCATTCTGGTCAACATGGTGAAACCCCGTCTCTACTAAAAATACAAAAAACTAGCTGGGCGTGGTGGTGCGTGCCTGTAATCCCAGCTACTTAGGAGGCTGAGGCAGGAGAATTGCCTGAGCCCAGGAGGCGGAGGTTGCGGTGAGCCGAGATCGTGCCATTGCACTCCAGCCTGGGCAACAAGAGCAAAACTCCGTCTCAAAAAAAAAAAAAAAGAATAATGTGAAGCATCAGGCATCTGTGCTTCACGAGTTCCTCTCTTAAACTCCTTTGCTTTCCAAGGGCATCATGCCCTGTATTTGGCTTTAACATTTTAATATCCCAGTCTGGACAACACAGCAAGACACACACACACACTCTCTCTCTCTCTCTCTCTTTTTTTTTTTTTTGAGACGGAGTGTCGCTCTTGTTACCCAGGCTGGAGTGCAATGGTGCAATCTCGGCTCACCGCAACCTCTGCCTCCTGGGTTCAGGCAATTCTCCTGCCTCAGCCTCCTGAGTAGCTGGGATTACAGGCACGTGCCACCATGCCCAGCTAATTTTTTATATTTTTAGTAGAGACGGGGTTTCACCATGTTGACCAGGATGGTCTCGATCTCTTAACCTCGTGATCCACTCGCCTCAGACTCCCAAAGTGCTGGGATTACAGGCGTGAGCCACCGCGCCTGGCCTTTTTTTTTTTTAGAGGGAGCCTCCCTCTGTCACCCAGGATGGAGGGCAATGGTGCAATCTTAGCTCACTGCAACCTTCGCTTCTCGGATTCAAGTGATTCTCCTACGTTCGCCTCCTGAATAGCTGGGATTACAGATGTGCACCACCATGCCTGGCTAGTTTTAGTATTTTTAGTAGAGACAGGGTTTCACCATTTTGGCCAGGCAGGTCTCGAACCCCTGACCTCGTGATACACCTGCCTCGGCTTCCCAAAGTGCTGGGATTACAGGCCTGAGCCACCATGCCCAGCATTTTTTTTTTTTTTTTTTTTTTGAGACAAAGTTTCACCCCATCGCCCAGGCTGGAGTGCAGTGGCATGATCCCGACCCACTGCAACCTCCACCTTCCGGGTTCAAGCAATTCTCATGCCTCAGCCTCCTGAGTAACTGGGATTACAGGTACACGCCACCATGCCTAGCTAATTTTTGTAATTTTAGTAGAGACGAGTAAGACTCTGTCTCTTTTTTTTTTCTTTTGTTAAGACTCTGATTCAAAAAAAAAAAAAAAAAAAAAAATGCTGAGCAAGGTGGTGGGTGCCCGTAGTCCCAGTTACTGGGAAGGTAAATTACTATTTACATAATTTATTCTAACATATTCTGCTTCTTTTCCCAGAGCTGTGAAATCTCCGCTATATCAGTACTGGCTAAATTAGGTATTAAATGATTGAGCTTCAAATGGGCACATCAAGACTGCGGACTACGTTCCTCCTTGCCCGGTGGCTGGGAAGTTCCTTAAGGACTGTGTGTTTCTATCAGACTGGTCTTGAAGGCGGTGGCTCTCCGGATCTCCACAGAGCGTCAACGTTGGCTTAAAAAAGACGCCAAAGCTAGATTGTCCAAAAGGTATATGAAAGGTAGTTGTATTATTTACAAGCCATCGTTTAGCCTTAAAACGTCATGAAGCATTTCCAGTTGCCTTTTCTTGAAATATTCAGCAACTCCCTTTTTTGTTAGGTCTGCGTTGCTGCCGAGACTTCAGATTAAAGGTGCTCCGGGGACTTCGATCTCCTGGGCATCCTCGGCCGGGACAATTTTGATTAAGCGCTACCTCCTGGCGGCAGCTCTACTGCCCGACGCCTTCTCAGCCTAGTGGGGCCGATTTTTTTTTTTTTTGGTCTGGAATCTGGAAGCTGATGCAACAGCTCCCCCAAGGGGGCGGGGCGGGCAGTAGGGAACTCGGGGTGGAAGAGACGGCCTTCCGGGAGAGCCCTCCTCCGGTTCCAAGCAGGCACCTCCCCTTGCTCGATCCTCACCGCCGAAGGGACTTCCCGGTCTGGGCACCCTACCCAGATTCAGCCAAGCATCTCGGGGCCGGAGGCAGCTGTGGCCAGGGGTTGGGGCTCTCGCCGAGACCCTTGTTGGGCCGCCAGCATAAGTCGTGATTGGGAGGGAGGGAATAGGAAGCTGAGCGTTCTTGGGGTGGGCTGGAGGACCAGTCTCTAAAGGTATCCGCGGTCATTTTCGTATCCCCGCAGCAATCCAGCTCTACGGGAGCGACCAGCGGGCAGGGGAGCGGGTTCAAGGCCTCGGTGCTTGGACCTTTGCTCCCTTCGCCTACACCCACCGCAACCCCCTCTTCTAGCGCTTCCTAGAGTCGGGGGAAGGACGGGGGCTGCTTGGCCAGGTGGAGGAAGCGGAAGGGACCCCTGGTGGGGTGAGGTCCTGGTCCTCCAAGGCAGAGTTCGCGTGGGTCCCCACAGCCAGACCTGGGCCTTGGCGGCCACCCTGTTCTTGAGAGGGATATTGAAGGCGGACGGTAGCTGGGTCTGGGCTTGGGAGGGCGTTGTCGTAGGGCTGCAGACTAGGGGCCCAAGAAAAGGAGGGAAAAGGCAGGGGCCCCGAGAAAGCAAGGGTGAATTGGGGGGTGGGGATGGGAGAAAGGAGCAAAGGTGAGTGAGACCTGCAGGTTGGGCGGGGGCGGAGAGGGGGATGGGAACGGCTCTGGGATCGGCCAGTGAGGATCATGGGCTAGGGGAGAGCTTTTCCGGGGAAGGGCCAATGGCGTGCGTGTGGTGTGGAGTTGAAGAGTTTATGCTTCGAAGTTCAGCTGTTGAGCCCATTTGGATATACCTGAACCTGAGTGTTCGGCTCCCTCTGCCTTTTCCTCGTCTGACCTTCACCCTTTCGGGGTCATAGCACTTCGCTCTGCTCTCATCTTCTCCACGCCGCACCCAGACCTGTCACCTGAACCTGGGTGTGAGGTACAGCAGACAAGAATTTCCCGGATCCAGGGCAAGAGTGTTAGATTATAGGTTTTTTGTTTTACTTTGCTTTTCCCATTAATGAAACAAAAGCCCGTTTCAAATCATTCTAGGCCTCCCTGTAGAACTATGAAAACCATACTTTCTTTTTTCCCTTTAATGCATTACTATCAAAAAGAGTAATGTACTCCTTGCTTAAAAGACAGAGCCGCAGCCACACAGGAGGGCCTGGAGAGCAAATTCAAGGACATGCCCAGGAGCCCAGCCAGCTGGGAAATCAAATAAATAACAGTTCATTCATCCATTTATTAACCCAGCAAACATTTATTAACTGTCTACCTGAGCCCTGCACTGTGGGGATACAGTGGTGAACAAAGCTCTTGTGATGCTTATATTCTAGTGGGGGTGGTGACAGCAAACAAATGACACCGGGAATGGACAACATCACTGGGAAGCATGTTCCAGGCAGGGAGAACAGGAATTGCAAACGCTTTGAGGCGGGATCGTGCTTGCTGTGTGGCCACAGCAGGGAAGCCAGTGAAGCTGGAGTGGAGTGAGGAAGACAGCAGGGGGGCCCATGTGGATGAGGACAGCTTCTCTCTTCCTAGGACTTTCCTCACAACTTGGACCTGACCCGAGTGCAATTAGGGGGCAGGCAAGTTGGGTAGCAGGCTGAGAGTGTCTAAAGGACACTAAATTATCCTTTTTTTAAAAAAAATTTTATCTTATTTTTTTTACGGTGCTCTACATGTTCAGAGAAACTTCTCTAGTAACAAACTATAGAAATGATCCCTGAAAGTATAGTCTTTTTTTTTTTTTTTTAATTTAAAGATGGGGTTTCTCCATGATGACCAGGCTGGTCTTGAACTCCTGACCTCAGTTGATCCACCCACCTCAGCCTCCCAAAGTGCTAGGATTACAGGCATGAGCCACCACGCCTGGCCTTTATCCTTGGAATAATTCAGGTATTTGGTGCCAGTGAACTCTGATTTCTGTATCTTGGTGAAATATGAGTTGGCTTTCATCCAGTGACATAGACTTATTGACAACTCCTTACCTGGACTACTTGTGTCTGGAGTAATTTTGCAACAGACCAGTGTAAGTTGCAGGGTGTAGCCCAGAAGCCAGCCAGCTGACAGTTGCTTAAAGGCATTAGTCACAGTTGTAATTCCAAAAATGCATGATTCGCTGTGAAGTGCTGCTCCCTGAAGGCAAGAAATTTATACTATTATCTACATTTTAAGTGGTTTAATATGTTTACCATGTTTACCAAGAAGTTACTTGCTTCGGAAGATTGCATATGATGAAAATTTGTAATAATTTCTAATTTTGAATATAAAAAGGCTTACACAGTTTTTATTCCAGGACAATCGGTATTTCCCCCACCTCTGCTAAGTAAACATTCAACAGATGTTTAAATAATACTGGTTTGAAGGGATGCCAACTCATTAGTCTGACCAGGGTGCCACGGCCCAGTTGGCTCTTACCTGGTGACAGACATCAATATCACCTGAACCAATTGGAGAGCTCAGCTGTGAGTGAGCTTGCTTGATGTCTAAATGTGTGCTTGGCTGTCCGTCTGTAAGTGGTCTTCCTTGGCCTGCATTGCCTCTCTTGACTTGCTTTAGGGGCTGAAATGGCACTGACATGCTTGAGACGGGATTGCAGAGTTTCCTTCCCCTAACCGTGGGATCGTATCCCCTCTGCAGGACTACGGATAGTACAGGAGTAGAAGATAAGTAGGAAATGGGATGAGGGGAGTTGCAAGAGGTATCATAAGTCACAGTCAATGGAGGGGAAAGCTTAAGTGCTCAGTAAATGTAGGGCAACAAGGAAGAGGAGGGTGGTGCTGAGGTAGGGAGCAGGAGAAGCTGAGACTTAGAGTGGAGAAGGTGCCTAGAGGCTGGCAGGCATTGAGGTCCTCTGGGTCTGATCAGGCAGTCCCAGCTCCAGCCCGTCCCTTGGCCCCTCCCTGCTGCTGGCCAGAGTCACACATGTGTTTTCCTGTTTTCCATTTCGGTCCCCGTCACCCTCTGCTTTTTCTGTTCCTCAGAGTCAACAGCTGCTGCAGCAGGAGCCATACCCTTGGTTCTCCTAACTAGTACCTTCCCCTCTTCTGAGCCGGTAACCCCTCCTCCCTGCACCTGCCCAAAGATCACTGGACCGGTAAGAGTCGGGAGAGGAGGAACAATGGGCGAGAGGGGAAGTGCAGGAGGAGGATGGAACCAGTGCTAAAACGCGACTGAATGGTGATCTAAGAGCCTCCTGTTTCTTGGTCCCAACCCTGTCCCTTCCTGGGCTGAAACTTCTGCCCAGAGACTTCAGCCCTTTGTTAATGGAAACCCTGGCCACAGGAGTAAACAATTTCTTTCTTCTTCCCCCCCCACCTTTTTTTTTTTTTTTTTAAAGGGACTGTCTTAGCCACAGTGGAATATAGAAAGACAAACAGAGAACTAGGGTGGGAGGGGCTGAGCTAACTTGGAGTGATGGGGAAATCCAGTCACGCCAGAGTGTATCTGTTTTCTGTTTCTGTTGTTAGGGGAGGCAGCACAGACTGGTTGGAGCCAGGAAGAGACATAGGGTCTCTGGGAGAGTAAGTGTGTTCTTACAGTAGTTCCCTGAGCTTGGCTGAGGAGCCAAGACCCCAAATTATGTGCTAGCACCTGGAGGAAGTGTGTTTTGTTGTTGCCATTTGGGGGTGAGGTTAGGGTGAGGGGTTCCACTGGCTGCTCTGCCCGGCACTGCAGGCATTGCATACTGGGTACCCTGCTGCCTGTTTCTGAATCAAATTTCTTCCACAGCCTGTAGGATGAGAGTGTTGTTCTGTAATCTTTACTGGGTCCTCAGAGATGAATGCATCTCAGACAGGGAAAGATGACAAGGGCTGCTGTTATCTTACAAGGTTTCTCATGTAAAACTTGGGGTAGGCCAGGCACAGTGGCTCACACCTGTAATCCCAGCATTTTGGGAGGCTGAAGTGGGCAGATCATGAGGTCAGGCGTTCAAGACCAGCCTGACCAACATGGTGAAACCCCTGTCTCTACTAAAAATACAAAAATTAGCTGGCGTACTGGTGGGCACCTGTAATCCCAGCTACTCAGGAGGCTGAGGCAGGAGAATCACTTGAACCCAGGAGGCAGAGGTTGCAGTGAGCAGAGCTCGCGCCACTGCACTCCGGCCTGGGGGATAAAACAAAACTCTGTCTTGGGGGCAAAAAAGAAAAAAAACAAAAACCAAAAAACAAAAACCTGGGGTAGAAGAGCCCCTTTGGGAGAGCCTATCGGTGCTGCTGGTCCCAGGTGGTCTGAATGGTGGAAGCATTACCCCAAGACCCAGGGTCTTAGGGAGAAATGCGAGCTGCCAAAGATGGTGCCTTCTTGTGCAGGGTGCTAGATAGTGGTTGAAAAAAGAAGGGGGCAGGGTTCAAAATCTCCATGAATGGCAGCCTCTCTTGCCTAGTTTGCATGGGCAGACTGAAGTAGGTTAGTCTACACATAGTACTTCCTGGTGCTACCACTAGGGTGTGCTGTTTGTTGGAATGTGGGTTTTACCCCTAGCAGATTTCTGTCTCAAGATTCCATGGAGAGGACTTCACTTTTTTTTTTTTTTTGAGACGGAGTTTTGCTCTTGTTACCCAGGCTGGAGTGCAATGGCGCAATCTCAGCTCACCGCAACCTCCGCCTCCTGGGTTCAGGCAATTCTCCTGCCTCAGCCTCCTGAGTAGCTGGGATTACAGGCACGAGCCACCATGCCCAGCTAATTTTTTTTTGTGTGTGTTTTTAGTAGAGACGGCGTTTCACCTTGTTGACCAGGATGGTCTCGATCTCTCGACCTCGTGATCCACCCGCCTCGGCCTCCCAAAGTGCTGGGATTACAGGCTTGAGCCACCGTGCCCGGCCAAAGGACTTCACTTTTTAGATGCTACCAATCAGGAACGAAACCTTGTACACTTCTCTCCCCATTCCCTGTCACAGTTTTCCCTTCCTTTGTCACTCCTTCCTTCCTTTCTCTTACATCATATTAAGACACATGCCCACCCCTTGGTGCCAGTGAATTTGGTCTTAAAAGGGCAAGCATGGCGGTGTGTTTGTGTGTGTTTTTGTTTGCTTTAGAAGTGGGCACCCTAGCAATAGCAGCACTGCCAAGAGGATTTGTAATCCCCTCTTACCCCTGCAAAGAATGAGAAAGGGGAGGGGCAGCCAGGAAGGAGATGAACAAACTTTGCTGGAGCCTTTAGTCCAGGCTATAGGCTGAAGGATGACAGAGGCTTTCTTTTTAATCTAGTCTGATTACATCTTCCCCCAGGTAATTCATATAGATAATTCCCATCGGCTGGGCTTGGTGACTCACGCCTGTAATCCCATTGCTTTGGAGGCAGAAGCAGGTGGATCACTTGAGGTCAGGAGTTCAAGACTGGGCTGGCCAACATGGCGAAATCCTGTCTCTTAAAAATGCAAAAATTAGGCCAGGCATGGTAGCTTATGCTTGTAATAGCTGTAATTCTAGCACTTGGGGAGGCTGAAGTGGGTGGATTGCCTGAGTTTAGGAGTTCAAGACCATCCTGGTCAACATGGTGAAACCCCAACTCTACTAAAAATACAATAAATTAGTTGGGTGTAGTGGTGTGTAGCTGTAATCCCAGCTACTTGGGAGGCTGAGGTAGGAGAACTGCTTGAACCTGGGAGGCGAAAGTTGCAGTGAGTAGAGATCATGCCACTGCACTCAGCCTGGGTGACAGGGTGAGATTCTGTCTCAAAATAAAAATAAAATAAAATAAAAATACTAAAATAAAAACACGAATATTGGCCACGTGTAATCCTAGTTACTCGGGAGGCTGATGCATGAGAATCGCTTGAACCAGGAGGTGGAGGTTACAGTGAGTTGAGATTGTGCCACTGCACTCCAGCCTGGGTGGCAGAGTAAGACCCTGTCTCAAAAAAATAATATAAGAGGAAGGCCTAGAGACTAGGGCAGGTCAGGGGATGGGGAGATGGAGAGATAGTATAACTGAGTGATTAAGAGTGTATGAACTCTGGTGGTTCCATGAGATAATGTGCTTAAGTGCTTAGCAGTATGTCTGGGTAGTGCTCAGTAGCAATTACTATTACAGAAGCATTTTGGAGAAAAGGATAATTTCCTCCAGAAGGATTTCAGATCATTGTGAGCCTGTCTTGGGAGAAGCATGATCTCTGGGAAGGCTAACACCAGAATCCTCCTCCTCATTAAAAAGTTTAAAGAGCTAGAATGGAGGGATGTAGGGTAGAGATGTCTCAGAGATATTTAGATCTCTATTCTCTGGTTGTAGAATAACTAAAGAGGATTAGAACAGGTGTGAGAAGGGACTGACAGTTGGATTTCGGAATGGATAGGGTCTATTTCTGTTGGTAAAAGAGACGTAGAATATCAGATTTAAAGTAAACAAGATAGTAAAGAATAAACACAGAATAAACTATGTGATTTCAAAAAAAATGCTCAGCTTCTTCTGCCTGTTCTGGGCCTATCTGTCCAACGGAATTCAGTGAAATCTGATTTCCTTGTATTTTTAGGAAAGCAGAGTAGCCTTGTATTTGGGAAAGGTGTTTATAGGAATTTATGCTCATCCCAAAGATCTTGGTATGTTTTCTCAAGGATGAAAGGGCACATGGGTCTGGTGGGGATGCAGTTGGAGATTTGATCTCTTGACTGTGTTTCTTCTTCTTCTTTTTTTTTTTTTTTAAGATGGGGTTTCACCATGATGGCCAGGCTGGCTTGAACTCCTGACCTCAGGTGATCCACCCACCTCAGCCTCCCAAAGTGTTGGGATTACAGGCGTGAGCCACAGCGCCAGGCCTGAGTGTGTTCCTTTTTAAGTAGTCTGAGGCTCAGGCTTTGAGGTAGTGGCTCAGGTTTGGAGGCAAACCCCCCAGTCTCTCTTTGCATAGGGAAGTGTGCAGAGTTCTCTTAGAATGCCCAGTCACACTTCCTGTAATCTCAGCATGGGAACAAGCCTTTGTGTCACACTGTGCAACCTTCCTCCCTTTCTTAAATGTTTGGGGTGAGAGAGAAGAGAGGCTAGGGTGGGGCATGGAGAACACACGCACACACACACACAGAGAGTGAGTGCTGTGTGTTCCTTCCCAGCTACTGCCCTGTCCTCAGCTAACTGGCCTGGGACAGTTTCCTCAGGGCTACAGAAACTGTATCCAGCTGACTGTCCTTTCTTCTGGGCCCCCAGTCCCAGAGCATAGCTGACAAAGGAGATTCCTGAGAGAGCGCCTTCTTATCACAGAAAGTGCTGAGCCAAGAGCTCCTAGCTGCCCCTTTTGCAGATGTGAAGGGTCAGTGAACCTTGGACCCAGATGGTTGCTTAATACTCCTTTCCCCCTCCCTCATCTCTTCCTCTGTGGGCTGCCTCGCCTCCTCCACCCTTCTTGCTTAAATCCATAGGCATTTTGTTTGACCTTCCCTTTTACTGCTGGCTGGAAAGGAGGAGCGTCTGACCACAGATCCTGGAAGGCATTTCTCTCCCTCACTGCTGCTGGCACTGCTGTGAGAACCTGCTTATATCCAGGACCAAGGAGTGAGTGTGCGTTCCACCCTCTCCTCTCATTCCTGCTCACCTTGCTTACCCTCCTCTTTGCTGCTGTGCAGTGTCTAATCGCTTCGTCTCCTGAGTGCCTCGCCCTAATATCTCTCCATTGCTTGACTAGCCTCTCCTGTTTTCTTCTCAGCTTCCTCCTGCTCGGTGTTTTCCAGCATGTGCTGCCTGGCTACAGCTGTGTGCCTGCATTGGCTTTGGGTGGTGTCTTTCCAGCAGCAACTCTGGGTTAGGGAATGGCTATCAGCTGCTTCCAATCATCTCTAGGTTTCGCTGTACATTGGATCACCTTTCTCTCATTCACACTTTTTTGGGTGATTTAACAATGCTGATGTGAGGGATCTGATAGCAGGAGGCTTGGAATACCAGAGACTGGAAAAGGTATCTGGGAAAGGAAAAGCAAGGAAAAGATAATAACTGGTCTTCTTTCAGGGTGAGGTGGGTCTACTTGGGCTTTGCCAGGACTGAACACTCCAGCTAAGCGTTAAGGGATGCTCCTTGGGCAGGAGGATGGTTGTGGGTTTCCAGCAGATTTCTAAAGGTTTTAGGTTTGTCACACGTAGAGTCCTTGGGAAAAAGAGTAGGTTGTGAGGCGCTCCCACAGATTAGTTGCTTGTAAGGTTGATTCCTAATGTTGTATCTCAGCACAGGTGATTGCTGAAGCTGAAATTGGAGGGAAGATGGGTTTTGTATAAGGCTGAAAACTCAGGCTCAAGCCATTATGATTCTTTTCTGGGAGCTGCCACATTGCCCCCATGCCTGTTTTGTATCATAGCAGGCTCAAAGAGAACCAAGATTTAGTTTTCTGTTTGGTGAGTTGGGTGGGCAGCAATATCCTAATGATGAGAGACAGATGCTTTCTCTCTGGGGAATGAGTGCCTTCTCTTACAAATTCAAATTGGTTGCTTTCACCTGAAGGGTCAAGAAAGAAGAAAAAAAAATTCAAGTTGGAGGGCCAGGCGAGGTGGCTCACGCCTGTAATCTCAGCACTTTGGGAGGCCCAGGTAGGCGGATACCTGAGGTCAGGAGTTCAAGACCAGCCTGGCTAACATGGTGAAACCCCATTTCTACTAAAAATACAAAAGATTAGACAGGAGTGGTGGTTCATGCCTATAATCCCAGCTGCTCTGGAGGCTGAGGCAGGAGTATTGCTTAAACCCGGGAGGTAGAGGTTGCAGTGAGCTGAGATCCCTCCATTGCACTCCAGCCTGGGCAACAAGAACAAAATTCCGTCTCAAAAAAAAGAAGTGCAACTTGGTGGCTCACACCTGTAATCCCAGGACTTTGGGCTTTGAGAGGCCAAGGCGGGTGGATCATGAGGTCAGGAGTTCAAGACCAGCCTGACCAAGATGGTGAAACCCTGTCTCTACTAAAAATATAAAAATTAGCCAGGTATGGTGGCAGGTGCCTGTAATCCCAGGTACTTGGGAGCTGAGGCAGAGAATTGCTTGAACCTGGGAGGTAGAGGTTACAGTGAGCCCAGATCGCATTATTGCACTCCGGCCTGGGCGACAGAGTTGACTTTGTCCCAAGAAAAAAATTTTCAAGTTGATGAGCGCGCTGGAGAAAAGGTTATTTGGAGGGCTCAGCAGTGGTGGGTGGGCTGCCTATATTAGCCTGTGTTGGAGGCAGGTAGAGGTTCTATGTAATTGCCAACTACCTAACATATAGCATCATCTTTTTCCTTAAAGGGCAATGCCAGGAAGCTGGTGAAGGCTTTTCTTTCCTCCACCATGGTTGACAGCACTGAGTATGAAGTGGGCTCCCAGCATGAGGTGGAAACCTCCCCTTTGGGTGATGGGGGCAGCCCAGGGCCCGAGCAGGTAAAGCTGAAGAAGGAGATCTCACTGCTTAACGGCGTGTGCCTGATTGTGGGGAACATGATCGGCTCGGGCATCTTTGTTTCCCCCAAGGGTGTCCTCCTGTACAGTGCCTCCTTTGGTCTCTCTCTGGTCATCTGGGCTGTTGGGGGCCTCTTCTCCGTCTTTGGGGCCCTTTGTTATGCAGAACTGGGCACCACCATTAAGAAATCTGGGGCCAGCTATGCCTACATCCTGGAGGCCTTTGGAGGATTCCTTGCCTTCATCAGACTCTGGACCTCCCTGCTCATCATTGAGCCCACCAGCCAGGCCATCATTGCCATCACCTTTGCCAACTACATGGTACAGCCTTTCTTCCCAAGCTGCTTCGCCCCCTATGCTGCCAGCCGCCTGCTGGCTGCTGCCTGCATCTGTAAGTGGGACTGGGACAGAAGGTGGTGGGTGGAGGGCTGGGCAGAGGCTGGGATGTGAGTGCAGTCTGGGAGTAAGAAGTAGATGGGAGGCCGGGCGCGGTGGCTCAAGCTTGTAATCCCAGCACTTTGGGAGGCCGAGGCGGGTGGATCACGAGGTCGAGAGATCGAGACCATCCTGGTCAACATGGTGAAACCCCGTCTCTACTAAAAATACAAAAAATTAGCTGGGCATGGTGGCACGTGCCTGTAATCCCAGCTACTCAGGAGGCTGAGGCAGGAGAATTGCCTGATCCCAGGAGGCGGAGGTTGCGGTGAGCCGAGATCGCGCCATTGCACTCCAGCCTGGGTAACAAGAGTGAAACTCTGTCTCAAAAAAAAAAAAAAAAAAAAAAAAAGAAGTAGATGGGAAGGAATGCCTCTGACAACACACACATATATATAGTTAAAATTAATGTATGCTTTGTGTGAAAATTCAAACAGTAACACTCACCTTTACCCCAACTTCTCATGGTAAGCACTATTAGCAGTTTGCATATTTTTCCTGATTTTTTTTTTTTTTTTTAAGAGACAGGTGTTTTGCTCTGTCACCCAGACTGGAGTGCAGTGGTGTGATCATACCTCACTTCAGCTTCGAACTTCTAGGCTTAAGTTATCCTCTGCCTCAGCCTCCTGAATAGCAGAGACTACAGACACACTGATTTTTTTTTTCTCTTGTTCTTTCAAGAGATGTAGTTTTGTCAGGGCATGGTGGCTCATGCCTGTAATCCCAGCACTTACGCAGGTTGAGGCGAGTGGGTCACCTGAGGTCAGGAGCTTGAGACCAACCTGGCTAACATGGTGAAACCCCGTCTGTACGAAAAAAAAAAAAAAAAAAAAAAAAATTGCTGGGCATGGTGGTGCATGCCTGTAATTCTAGCTCCTTGGGTGGTTGAGGCAAGAGAATTGCGTGAACCCAGGAGGTGGAGGTTGCAAAGAACCGAGACCAAGCTATTGTACTCCAGCCTGGGTGACAAGAGCAAGATTCCACCTCAAAAAAAAAAAAAAAAAAGGAGATATAGTTTTGTTCTTTTAGAAAAATGAGATCATATTAGTCTACATAAAATTCTACAGTGTGCTTTTCCTCCTAGCATTATCAGTGACTTTCTATTTACAGATCTACTTTTTAAAAATGCTTCATGTTATTCCATGTTAATTTTAAGGATGTATAGTAGTTTATTGACCTAGCTAGTTCTCTGTTAATGGCCATGTATGTTGGTTCCAGTTTCTCAGTCTTACAGATAATGCTCCAGTGAATATCCTTTTGTACTTGCATGAGTATTTGTGTAGGCTAGATTTTTCTTCTTTTTTTTTTTTTTTTTTTTTTTTTTTTTTTTTTGAGATGGAGTCACTCTGTCACCCAGGCTGGAGTAGCATGATCTCGGCTCATTGCAACCTTCATCTTCTAGGTTCAAATGATTCTCCTGCCTCAACTGCTCTAGTGGCTGGAATTACAGGCATATGCCACCATGCCCAGCTAATTTTTTTGTATTGTTAGTGGAGACAGTGTTTAACTGTATTGGCCAGGCTGGTCTTGAACACCTGACCTCAAGTGATCTGCCTGCCTCAGCTTCCCAAAGTGTTGGGGTTATGCACGTGAACCACTGCACCTGCTTCTGTTGGCTAGATTCTTAATACTGTCATTTCAATCTACCTTGGCTTTTTCTCCATCTCATAAATAAAATATTATTTAAATCTGTACATCAGTAAAGCCATTGGAGGTGCCGAGATGGTGATTCTTCACAGCCCCATCCCTCAGATGCCTCTATTGAAAAATGCCCTTCCAACCTGGGAGATCCTAGGGCGTTAGAGATGCCTTCCACCACACAACTGTGAAGAAGCTCAGACATTCTGTCAGTTTGAGGGGCGGCTGCCCTAGCAGTTGGGGCACAGGAATTTTGCACCAGGTACAATTGCTCATTGGCTCACCCCTCTCCAATCAGCTCATGTCCTTTTCTCTTTCAGTTTCTGTATTGCCCCATTTACTCCTCAACTTCCTCTTCAGCTTCCCTTATTCTACGGTTGTGTAGAGAACTGGCTGTCTTCTGTGGGGTCCTCCTGGTGTTTTGTGTGTCCATATGTCTGGCTTGGACTCATCTCTGTGTATGGGATATTTGTCATTCACGGCCATAGTCAGGGAGGAGTGGAAGGCACTGCCTTGTGTTGCAAGAAGGGAGTTTTCCACTGAGGTCTGAAATGTGATCCGTGATTTCTCTTGCATCGCTTGCAGATGATCTGGTAGGTTGCTAACTGGCAAAACTAATTTTAGGATCTATTGGTCTTGAAGCACCCTCAAATGTGGGTATATATTTATATATCATGTGCAGAGAAGGATCATTCCATCTAAGTAATATTATTTATTTATTTATTTATTTGAGACGGTGTCTTGCTCTGTTGCCCAGGCTGGAGTGTAATGGTGCGATCTTGGCTCACTGCAACCTCTGCCTCCCAGGTTCAAGTGATTCTTCTGCCTCAGCCTCCCAAGTAGCTGGGATTACAGGCGTCCACCACGGCATCCAACTAATTTTTGTATTTTTAGTAGAGATGAGGGTTTCACTGTGTTAGCCAGTCTGGTCTCAAACTCCTGACCTCAGGTGATCCACCTGCCTCTGCATCCCAAATTGTTGGGATTACAGGCGTGAGCTGCTGCACCCGGCCAATTTTCTGCTTCTAATTTGGGTATAGAGATGTACACGTTGAAACCCTCATTCACCCATGTACACATTCATGTGCCTGTGCATCCTTTTTTTTTTTTTTTTTTTTTTTTGAGACAGAGTTTTGCTCTTATTACCCAGGCTGGAGTGCAATGGCCCGATCTCAGCTCATTGCAACCTCCGCCTCCTGGGTTCAGGCAATTCTCCTGCCTCAGCCTCCTGAGTAGCTGGGATTACAGGCATGCGTCACCATGTCCAGCTGATTTTTTGTATTTTTAGTAGAGGCGGGGTTTCACCATGTTGACCAGGATGGTCTCGATCTCTTGACCTCGTGATCCACCTACCTCGACCTCCCAAAGTGCTGGGATTACTGGCATGAGCCACCGCGCCTGGCTATCCTTTTAAGAATACATTCAAAGTAGCCACAGTTATGGTTAGTATGCAGAGCTCTTCAGTGAGTAAAAGGCATGGAGTTTTGTGCACAGGTGTGAGAGAACTCTGGTAGAGTGAAAGGTGCACACCACTTGTGTACACACTTGCATTGGAGGTTGGGCTCAGTAGCTGTGTGACCTGGAGTTAGATGCAGTGACTGTTTAATTCCGGGCTATTGTGAGAATGGAATAAGATTCAGTGAAAACATAAATTATGACTCAAGTATAAGGTATTGATTATGTTTAGAATTACTATTTTCTTGGCCACTTATAGTCCTGTTTCTCTTCCTGCTTCTTGGCTTCATTTGAAGCAGTTACATTTAGATAAATGAGATATTACTACATAAGTAATACCTGGACTTTGTTCTGGACTTTGTTTCTGTTCAGAGGTACATAGAAATCTAAAGAAGGTTCAGAAGGGCAACCAAGACTAAGAATTAAGTGACATATGATCCATGGGTTTATTACTTCAGCCACTGTTTTGTTTTTGTTTTTTCAATTTTTTTTAAAATAGAGATGAGGTCTCGCTATGTTGCCCAGGCTGGCCTCAAACTCCTGAGCTCTAGCAATCTGCCTGCCTTGACCTCCCAAAGTGCTAGGATTATAGGCATGAGCCACTGTGCACGGCCTTCAGGCACTGTTTTTTTTTTTTTTTTTTTTTTTTTTTTTTGCAGGCACTGTTTAATAAGCACCTAACACAAGTCAGATGCTGGGACCTACGAGAACATTCCAGTTGGCCTAAGTGAGAACTTAGGCAGAATCTTTAGATTTAGCAACAGAAGGGCTTTAATTTAGAGCTTTCATACATTCTCTCCCTTGGAAAACCTTTAATTAGGGCATGTTATGTGCTAGATATTTTACTTAGCGCTGGGGAACAAGAATGATGTCTGGCCCTCGCCATTTAATAATTCACAGTCCAGGAAGGAGACAGACATGTTAACAAACAATTGTCATGCAATGTAATTAGTGCAGTGATAGAGGCAAATGGGACCACTTTTTTTTTTTTTCAAGACAAAGATGCACTCTTGTCACCCAGGCTGGAGTGCAGTGGTGCGATCTTGCCTCACTGCAACCTCTGTGTCCCTGGTTCAAGCAATTCTCCTGCCTCAGCCTCCCCAGTAGCTGGGATTACAGGCATGTGCCACCATGCCTGGCTAATTTTTGTGTGTTTAGTAGCGATGGTGTTTTACTGTGTTGGCCAGGCTGGTCTTGAACCCCTGACCTCAGGTGAACCACCCACCTCAGCCTCTCAAAGTGCTGGGAGAACAAACATGAGCTACCATGCCTGACCTAAATGGGGTCACTTTATTTTTGTAGGGAGGAGAGCTTAGGAAAGTACCACAGAGAACATGGTGTCTGAGTTGAATTTTGAAAATACATATAGCTGTCTTCTGTGACCTTTCTCACAGGAGACTGCATGTGCAAAGGTATGGAGGTGCAAAAAGGCACAGAATGATCAGAGAATTCCAGATCATTGGTATAGTTGGAATGTGGGGTGGGAAAAGGGTGAGGAGACAGCACTAGGTGAGGTGGGTTTTATAATCAGGTTGGACTTTATCTCAAAGATAGGGGGAAGCTATTGTTTATCTTTATATTTTTAGAGATGGGTTCTTGCTCTGTCGTCCAGGCGGGAGTGCAGTGGTGCAGTTATTGCTCACTGCGGCCTCCAACTCCTGGCCTCAGGTGATCCTCCTACCTCATGAGTAGCTAGAATTACAGGTGGGAGCTACAAAGCTACTGATTTTTTTTTTTTTTTTTTTTTTTTTTGAGACGGAGTTTTGCTCTTGTTGCCCAGGCTGGAGTGCAATGGCGCGATCTCGGCTCACCGCAACCTCCGCCTCCTGGGTTCAGGCAATTCTCCTGCCTCAGCCTCCTGAG